GAGCCGCCGTCGTCGTTGTCCCAGAACGTGGGCCCGTACAGTGGAAACCCGTGCCAAGAAACACCGTGCTTGCTTCCAGGGTGCCCTGGGTTTCTTGGCTTTCGATGGTTTTGCTGTGGAAAAAGCGTGACTTTCCCACACCAAAAGTCAATGGACGTCCTGGGGTCTCAGGGTTGGGTTTCTTGTGGAAGGTTTCTTGTGGTCGGGCTCCTACTGTAACGTCAGTTATGGGAGGTCGCCCCCCCCTCTCCCCAGCCTCTCCGTAACGGCACCGAACGGTCGCGGGGGGGGTGGGGGCGCCGGTTCCCCCACAGGCCTGGCGCGGTGCTCGCAGGCATGCTGTGGTGCTGACAGGCATGCCGTGGTGCTCACAAGCATGCCGTGGCGCTCGCAGGCCCGATCCCCCACCTGTCCCCCGGCACCGACGTTACGCGGGGGGCCACAAATTGTCCTGACGATGTGCCCCACCCTTGCGCAACGAGTAGCCCAGATAGCTGGGTAGGCTCTACAGGTGTGATGACGCTGCACAGAGGCACATTTTCTGCGAGCGAGCGAAGAGGTACACTATCGGCTGCGATTTCCTGGGGTGCCCGCGAGCGGCGCGAGCTCCGACGGTACGTTTTTGTCGGTCCGGGCGGGCCTTCTCTTGCTGGATTTTGCGGCCTCCCGGGGGGGCCCGCTGGGGGCCCCAGGGGATCGTCAGAGCTGGATCTCCGGGACGGGCGATTGTCCCCAGGGAAGGGGCCGGGGCCTCTGGTTCCGCGCATTGAGGCCAAATTTTCTCGTCGTCGTCGTCGTCGTCGTCGTCGTCGTCGTCGTCTTCGTCGTCCCCCGTCTGGCACAGCATCGTGGTCGTCGCCGTCCCCGATCTGACGGGGCCTCGTTGTTTGATCTGCCAGCTCTCTGCTAATGCGCGAGTTGCTGGCAAGCAGGTCGTCGTCGCAGTCCTCCTCGGACCCCTGTTCGGGGCGCGCAGGAAGTGGGGTGGAGGAGGTAGAGGATGATAAATCAAGTTGATGATGATGGTGATGACGACGACGATGACCCCGCCATCGCTGCCGACGACGAGGAGGAAGTGGAGGATGCTGATGCTGCTGCTGCTGCTGACGATGATGATTATTCTTTACGCTTCGCGTATCCCCACCAGCCCATCTCACAGCAGCAACTCTCGCGAAGCATGCCGACAGTCGTGTTTTTCAGGCGTGTGTCCGCTTGGCCCCGCATATCTCCCCTGTTCCTCCTTCCTCCCGCCTCCTTGTACATCCTCCTTGTGAGGGGAGCGGGAGAAGGACGAGGCGGAGGAGGAGGGAGAGAAAGCGCTCCTCGTGATTTGAGTCGTTTGGGGTTTCTCGTCCTGGTGTGAGTCGTTCGGGCCCTTCTTCCTGGTGTGAGTCGTTCGGGCTCTTCGTGGTGTGAGTCGTTCGGGCTCTTCGTCCTGGTGTGAGTCGTTCGGGCTTCTCGTGGTGTGAGTTGTTCGGGCCCCTCATCCTGGTGTGAGTCGTTCGGGCCCCTCCTCCTGGTGTGACTCGTTCGGGCTCCTCGTGGTGTGAGTCGTTCGGGGCCCGCGTCGTGGTGTGAGTCCTTCGGGCTCCTCGTGGTGTGAGTCGTTCGGGCGCCTCGTCCTGGTGTGAGTCGTTCGGGCTCCTCCTTGTGGTGTGAGTCGTTCGGGCTCTTCGTGGTGTGAGTCGTTCGGGCCCCTCGTCCTGATGTGAGTCGTTCGGGCTCCTCGTGGGGCCTCTTGGGGGCCTCTTGGAGCCTCGTGTGGCCTCTTCGGGGCCTCTTGGGGGCCTCTTGGGGGCCTCTTGGGGGCCTCTTGGGGCCTCGTGGGGCCTCTTGGAGGCCTCTTGGGGGCCTCTTGGGGGCCTCTTGGGGCGTCGTGGGGCCTCTTGGGGGCCTCTTGGGAGGCTCTTGGGGGCCTCTTGGGGCCGCTTGGGGGCCTCTGGGGGGCCTCTTGGAGGCCTCTTGGGAGCCTCCTGGGGGCCTCTTGGGGCCATCTTGGGGCCTCTGGCGACCTCCGCAGAAGCGCAAAGGAGAGCTGCCCCCTGAGAAGGACAAAATGAGGCCAAAACCTTCGTAAAATGAATGATTTTGCTATGAAGGAAGATGAGCGCGGCCCCCTCAGAAGGCCAAAATGGGGCCAAAACCGTCGTAAAATCAATGAATTTTGCTTCAAAGACGAGCAGAGGGGCCAAACTCGGTCCCCCCCTCGGGGCCAGAATCCTCGTGAGCGTCGTCGTTTTTTAGCCCTCCCAGGAGTCGAAAAAGGCCCCCCGCCACCACCCGGGAATCCCTGTCCAGGCCCAGGGGGAGGGGGTAGGGGGAGGGGTAAACCCCTCCCCGAAGGGGAAGAAGGGGGGTTGAGGACAGAGCGGGCTCTCTAAACCACTCACGCCCAAAGGGCTGGTGGGACTTATAGTGGTGGTGATGATGATGATGATGATGATGATGATGATGATGATGATGATGATGATGATGATGATGATGATGATGATGATGATGATGATGATGATGATGATGATGATGATGATGATGATGATGATGATGATGATGATGATGATGATGATGATGATGATGATGATGATGATGATAATGATGATGATCATCATGATGATCATGATGGTGATGCTGACGATAGTGGTTGTGGTGGTGGTGGTGATGATGGTGGTGGTGATAATGATGATGATAATGATGAGGAGGAGGAGGAGGAAAAGGAGGGGCAGGAGGAGGAGGAGGAGAACGAGGAGGAAGATGAAGGGAAGCCCGCCACATGTGACACTTCTTGCCTTCACTACAGAAGTTGATGAGCTCTCATGGAACTCGCTTGGGATGTCTTGGGGCTGTCCTGTGAGGTAGTCTTTGGGGTCCCTTGGGGCCCTCTTGGGCCGTATTGGGGCCCTCTTAGGCCGTCTTGGGGATCTCTTGGGTTGTCTTCGGACCCTCTTGGCCGTACGTTGGGTGCCTGGGGGCCGTCGTGGGGCCGTTTGGGCGCCGTCTTGGGCAGCCGAAGGGCCTCCTCAGGCCGAATTGCGTCCCACGGGGGGCCCTACAGGCCGTCTGAAAACAATCTTGGATGCCTATGGAGCTCTCGTGGGATCCCCTTGGGCCATCTTTGGACCCTCGGGGGGGCCTCGTGGGCCGTCTTTGGGCCATCGTCGAGGCTTCTTGGGCCCTTTTGAGCTGACGGAGACCCGAAACAGCGAGACTGCGAAAAACACCTAAGGAACATCAATACTTTTGGCTTCTTCGGGCCCTGCTAGAGGTTCTTGCATGGCGCTCCTGGGCCCTCTTGGAGGCATCAAGGCCTTTCTTGAGGCAATCTTCGGCCGACTTGGGGCCATTCTGGCCCGCCTCCGAGGCATCTTGGGGCCATCTTGGTGTGCCTGGTTGCCTGCATGGGCCGTCCTGGAAGCTCGGGGCGCGGATCCACAGTTTGTAACGAGGGGTCGTGGCCTCGGGAGTGCGGATCGATAGCTTTTTGTCTCTAGGGATCGTGGTCTCGGGAGGGTGCGGTCCGTATCAGAATGCAGACATCCGGCCCGAACAGCATATTGCGTTCTAGCGCGCCCACATCTTGCAGGCACGGTGGCGGATATCTGGAGGGATAGCGGGATATATATATATATATATATATACACAAGATCTTGTTGGCTCGCTTCGCTTCGCCACAACATCTTGTCCCTGATCCTCATCCTGAGCACGGGCGCGCGGACTTTGTATGCCAGCGCGGTAAAAATAATGGCGGTGCGGGTCGGCGTTTCTTCCGTCGTTTCTCGCTATGTTTGACAGCTGTCGCTGCGCGCGCTCTGTGGGCGTCGCGAACTGTCGCGATGTTACTGGGGGAAACCTTTGGATGGCACGTTGTGTCTGGATCCTCTCTCCTCATACTCCTCCTCCCCCTGCTTTTTTAGCAAGCACCCTCGCGCGCACTTGCCGGCTGTTTTGCGTCGCACCGCCAGCGTCTGTCTCCGGGGCAACTAAGAAACCAATTGATATACCCATCCCACGGTTGTATATCGCGTCAGAGGCCCAGAGAAACGCCATCGCTGAGGTGGAGAGGAAAAGTAAGGACGCAATGCGTAACAAAGAGAACCTGTCATCCAAGGGCAATGTGCAAAGCACGTACGCGAGAGAACGTTCAACCGTGAGGTTCATACAATTTGAGGGGCGTTGCGCCGGCAAACATTTTAATGTATCTATTGTATTAGCATAAACTGGTTTGGCATTGCATCGGCGTGAGACCGGTCGAAGTAGCAACTGTTAGAAGGGTCTCGCATAGGTCACGTCGGGACGCTCGCATCGTCGGCTGTTCTCGGCGAAGTAAACTGAGGCGTTCGTCCTCCATCCGGCGGTGCACGTTGACGAGCCATTCGTTGAGTAGTCGCCCGCATGCGCGCATGTGGGTCAAGCGAAGCAGGCACTGGCGGTACCACCACATTTGACTGATGTGAACGCCGTTAACTACTGCATCTGGGCCTCAGCCTCGTCCTCCGGCGGGAAACCACAACGGATGCGACAATGGCTCGTAGAAGGGGTACAAGGGGTGGTGATATCGAGGCGTACCCGTGGAGTGCAGCCGGGCGTCAACGATTGCGGCGAGCTCGTTGATACCAGGGCCCCATTTTAGGTGGACAGCTGCGCCGGGGCCTGGGCGCCTGATTGCGCCGAGGCGCTTGACTTCGGTCATGAACGGGTTGATGGGCAAGAGGATACGTTCAAGACGTCGGAGGAGTTGCGTATCGAGGCGTAGCGTTGCAGCCTGCTGGGCCCGCTCTTGAGGATCGACAACGAGGTACCGCACTGCGCTGGAATCTTGCGCTGAGCGTAGGCGTCGGTGCATGGTTCCATGCATGCGCACATTGGAAGGCCGTAAGTAACTGCCGAATCGTAGCTCCTTCGTGGGGCCAGCGCTCTGAATTTCGTGGACTGCCAGCGCAAATAAGTTGTTGTAGCGGCGGCTGACGGCTGTGAAGCCCGTGGGGCGGGGTGCGTTCGCAGCGGCG